TAAGTCACAGGGAATTATACTATACTACTACTGAAGCCGTGCCTTAAGGAAACAAAGTGCTGTTGCATTTGAGTTGGCAGAAATGGGTGCAGAAGGCCTGTGGAATGCTATGGCTTCTCAATGCACTGAAGCACTTACAGAGGGAAATAACAAGATGAGGACACCGAACTTTCAACTCACAATTTTTTCATGAGAGAAACAGGACTTCTATGCTCAAAAACTTGTGTATTATAGCCACAGAGTTCACCTAGTTAATACACGATATAGATGTACTGATGCAGAATCACAATCTAAGATCAATGTATCTCACATGTGAAAGCAAATTACTGAATGAAATGAATGAAACCTAGAGATCGGGAACTGGGGATCTGTGTACCCAATGAAGATGAGACTCTAAAGGCCCAAGCTATCTGGGGCTCCTGTGACAGTGAAAATGCAAATGGCCCACTCTGAGATTCCTCTTCCCTGTTTGAAGATCTGATAAGAACACAATAATGGTAAGGTAGTTTTCTTGGAAGAGAATTATTCTTCTCACAATTCGACTCAGTCATCCCTTAATGTCATATATAACAGGGTTACGTTGGGCTGGAGAGATGGCTCAATGGTTAAGAGCACTAGCTCTCACAGAGGACCTGGGTTTGGCTCCTAGTACCTACATGGTGGCTAACAACCATCTGTATCTCCAGTTCCAGAAGATCCAACATCCTCTTCTGACCTCCACAGGCATTGCAGAACACGAATGCACTTACATACATGCAGGCAATACACTCATACATAAAAATAAAAAAGAACATTTAAAAAAACAACAGGGTTAGGTTGTAGCATTCTTTGGGGGAACCAGCACAAAGTTTGATCCATATGCTAATAACTGATACACAAAAGTAATTGAAAAATTGCTACTTTGTACTGATAGAGAAATAAATATGTGTGAAAATGGATTCTGAGTTAGACTAAGAAAATTTGAGTGGGACCAATTTCCTTTATATGATTCACTTACCTGAGAATTCCATTTGATGGTTAGCTCATATACCTGTGGGTTGACTGAAACAGGGGTGTCCTGACAGTCTGTACTATGTGAAACTGGGAGGCCTTCGCAGCATAAGGTAGAAGCAAGAAAAGGCTTAAAGAAATTAGAATGGTGGAGCTGATTTATCATGTATAACAGGCACATACACAACCCTCAATTGTTATATCCCTAGGAGTACCAAGAGGACACTCTGGTGCTAAGATGCTACTCTCATTAATGTGTCATACAGGGCATCAGGTTATCCTGCCAATCACAAAATTCACCGAACTGCCATGAAATGATAACTTTTTGCTGTTCTCTCTCTCTTTAGCCCTTTGTTTGCTTTGTAGCACTTTGTAGAAATTGCAACTACTTAATTATTTGTCTGCTTTTTTGCTTGATTTGGTTTTGACTTTTTTTACCCATTTGTTTTCACTGTCTCCTTCACTAAAATACAGGTTATGGGAGAGCAGAGGCTGTATCCAATTTGTTCAGCACTGTACTTCAAATGCCTCCCATGCCACCAAGTACACAGGCCTTCAATACAGATGTGCTCAAAGCACAACCAAAGAAATGCAGAATTTGTCTATCTTTGTCATCACAAAATCCTGGTCTCCCTTCTTCTGAAACAGATACACTCATGAAAACATTATTCTTCCAAAGAGACAATTCACATCTCAGTTAAAACTTGCTCTAGGGCTAGGAAAAACCAGGTGTGGTGGTGAATACCTGTAACCCCAGCACTTAGGAGGTAAAGACGGGAGGCTCAGGAGTTCAAGATCGTCCTCAGCTGTTTGTCTGTCTGTCTGTCTGTCTGATCTATCTATCTATCTATCTATCTATCTATCATCTATCTATCATCTATCTATCTATCTATCTATCTATCTATCTATCTATCTATCTATCTATCTATCTATCTATCTATCTATCTATCATCTATCCATCCTATCTAACTACCTACCTACCTAAGGAGTTCTAGGTCAGCTTGAAATACATGAAACTGCCTCAAAAGTTTATCCTGACTTATAAATCTTCTGTAATCTCCTGCATATTTCATTAGCATATGACAGTCTGCTGCTATAACTTCTATGAAATCATAATATGCCCAGAAAAAAAAAAAAAACTTTTTCTTAAGAATTTTCAGCATGAAATTAATTCCTTTAAATAAAGGTTAATTCAATGCCTTTATATCTGTCCCTCCATGAAAATATCTGAACAGAATCATATTTTGCCCAATATTCATATTACTTTAAATTGTAAATTAACTAAATTCTCAAATATCATTAAAATAAGTACTGGCTTATTGAACAAATTTTACAGAAGCTCAAATACATATTAAAAGCAACCTAAGGGGCTGAGGAGAAGACTCAGCAGTTAAGAGCACTGGCTACTCTTACAGAAAATCCAGGTTCAAATCTTAGCACCCACATGTCAGCTAACAACCATCCCAACTGTCCGTAACTCCAGTTCCAGCCCTCTTCTGTCCTCTGTGGGCATTGCACAACACAGGTGCACTTACATATAGGTCTAAAATCATATACATAAAACAAAAATAAATAAATAAATTTAAAAATAAAAGCAACCTAAGGTAGTTATTCTTACTATCAAGGAAACTGTGGATTCATTCATATCAATCCTTCAAAATTCAACATTCCATTTAATGGAAATTTCTGCTTTCCATTTGTGAATCTTTTCTTGTACCAACCAACAGCTGCTTTCATTAAGAGGGAATCTCTACACGTGTCAATATATCTCCATCACTCTCAGAGTCAGTAAATACTCGGCTATAAGGAATTGAGAAGGAAACAGCAGGAAAATCTACGCACTATGTAAATCCACCCCCATCCTGTAACCACCTTAGACTTAACACTGTCATATCTTAATTCAAAATCATTTCAGTAAAACCGCAAAATATTCTGTCTTGGCCCTTATTGCATTTACATAGCTGCAATCTTGAACATTAAAACCCTGAAATGCCAAAAGCTCTATTGAATTCTATGTATATGTGCAGTTTGTAAAGATTTATACTTGTAGTAAAGTTTTAAAAGAATTTATTTTAAAAATTCTAACTTAATACATAATACTCCCAATACTTAATATTGGGACTCTCCAAAAGCAGCATGGCTTTTGGACTGGGATGTAACTTAGTGAAAAAGCAAATGTTGAACACTGACAAGGACTATAAACAAAATCAAATCTATTTTTCAATCTTAAAATGAAAAGTACCAGGGCTGGAGAGACGGCTCAGCTGTTAAGAGCACTGACTGCTCTTGCAGAGGACTTGGGTTTGATTCCCAGCACCCACATGGCGGCTACGAACCGTCCTTAACTCCAGTTCCAGGATAATCTGAAGCCCTCTTCTGACCTCCGCAGCATTGCATGACACAGGAGCACTCACATACATGCAGGTAATACACTCATACACACAAAATAAAAATAATAAATAAAACATTTTTTTAAAAGATGACAAGCACCTAGCTAAGTAAAATCTGTTCAATCAGACCAGCTATGTATAGGTTGGAAAAAAATAACAAAACATGTACCTGATAAAGATATTGGCTCAAAAATGAGGTAAAACAGTCTGTAAACTCTTAACAGGCAGAAGTTAGTAATTAAATACAGAAAACATCCTTTCATCTGAGTTGGAACAATTTGCTAGTTGGGTCCTGAGAGTAGTTAAAGCACTGCAACCATTTTAACTTAAATCATGTAAATGTAATTCATTCGCCAATCCTCTGTGTGGGGTCAAGGCCTTGTTTTTGAGACTGGATCTGCATACTGAATTGCACAGCATCTTCCAAGTCTTCCCCAGCCATGTGTCAGTTCTAACTGTAGTTTCAGGTTTTTTGTATGAAGAAACATATATCAGAAACCAAATTTCTTCTTACTTCTTACAAGTTTCCAAATAGTCCATATTTACCTTGGTCATGTCAACTGGACAATAAATTTCTAAAAGAACTTATTTATTTTTTTCAGAGACTTCAACAAAGTTTTTAAAGAAATCACTTTTTCACAATATTACATCATTTTATAGAATTTATAAGTGTATCCAACATAAGTTCAGGGACAAACATAATCAACCCTCAGGCAGCAAACAATATGACTGGTGCAAGTGAAAGTGTGCCTAGAAGCCTGCTGGCTACAGAGAGCACACCAGGGACATTTGTCAGTGTGTTCCAAAAAGGAAATGGTCAGAGCAGATATACTCATCTGGTTAGCAAAGCAAAAGTCCGCTAGCAGAGTGTTTAAATGTTGTAATTCAGGTGCCAAGTGCTGCTGACTAAGAAAGATACAAATTGCTTCCTGTCATCTGATGGCACCTTTCCTCATGGTTCTTGATCACATGACACTGTAAACTATAGCAAAAAGTATTCTGGGATACTTTTAAGAAAAGAAATATTTCAGTAGAATATGATAAAATAATCACAATTTAACTCTTAATGGAACTAAATGTGTTGGTAAAAGAAATTTTAGTCAAATTACAACAGATCTAAAATGATTTTATGAAACCAGGCGTGGTGGTACACACCTTTAATCCCAGCACTCCAGAGACAAAGGCAGGTGGATCTTTGAGATGGAGGTCAGCCTGGTCTACAGAGTGAGTTCCAGGCTAGCGAGTGCTACATAGTAAGACCTGCCAAAAAGATGTGATTTTATGAAATTATTTGGAAGATTAATACACATTTTAAATAAAAAAAAAACTTTTAAGCCTAGCACTCAAGAAACTGATGCAAGAGGATCACAGCATGCTATATTTTACAAGTTCAAAGCCAGCCTAGGCTGAACAATGAGACTGTCTCCAAAAAAAATTTTTTTTTAATTTTAAAATTAGCTATTTAAAAAATGGTCCATCTTTAAAGCATGCCATGAACAAACAGAAGTTTTAGAGTTCTTTTTAAACTGTAAATAAATATGCCAGTGCTAGGTGCCTGCTTGAAAGCATTGAGATTGGTACTCCTTTTGGGATCATGGAGTATTTAATGCAAAAACTTACTGATCTCACTGGAAACCTGATTCAGCTTATCCTGTGATCTGCTGATTAGGACAATCTTCATTCCACGCTTTGCTAACTGAAAAAAACAAAAGATCTGAATCACATTTGTGAACTTCATGATAAAATATAAATTAGACATATCCTCTTTTTAAGAAACCTGGCCAAGTGATCACTCAAACTGAAAAATAAGTGCAATGAACTGGCAATCCAAAATGAATTATTTTTCAGAAAGAATTCCCCAAAGGCTTAAGTTTCTGACCAAGTATTTATAGCTCAAAGTGTTTTTAAAGGATGGTGACTTTTACTTTTTGTTTTGGATCTATACATTGTATGGGTTTTTTGCATTGTTGTCTTTTTTTTAACTTTTTTGATTTATTTATTTTTATTCTAGGTGTACAAGTGTTATGCCTGCATGTATGTAAGTGTACCCATGTCATGCAATGCCTGTGGAGGACAGAAGAGGGTGTCAGATCTCCTGCAACTGGAGTTTTAGACAGCCGTTAGCCACCATGTAGATGCTGGGAATCAAACCCAGGTCTTCTGCAAGAACAGTCAGTGCTGTTAGCCACTGAGCCATCTCTCCAGCCCCAAGTCTTCTATTTCTACAATTTAAACTTTGGGAATTAAGAAGTTGTTAAAGACTGGAAACATAAAACAAAGATCAGTGGGGCTGGCAAAGAAAACTACAGGTCATGTTAGTCATTCCTATAAATATAATCAATTAAAATCTGTATTTGAGTATTGCAATAGTCTTTATCATTAACTTGACTGGGCTTAGAATCACCAAGGAAACATATCTTTGCACCGGTGTGTCAATGAGAGTATTTCTAAAAAGTTTTTCTGAAGAGGGAAGATACACCCTAGTGGACAGCACCACCCATGGGCTGGGGTCCTGGCATCAGTAAGAAAAAAGCAAGTTGAGAAGCTGAGAAAGCATTCTCTGATCTTTTTTTTTTAATGTTATGAGTGTTTTGTCTACATGTAACTGTACCACATGTGCAATGCCCACAGAGGTCAGAAGAGAGCATCAGGTCCCCTGGAACTGGAGTTACAAACAGTTGTGAGGTGCTGCATTCAGGTTCTCTACAAGAGCAGACAGTGCTCTTAACCTCTGAGCCACCTCTCCAGCTCTCTGATTCTGACTGGGGATATAAGGTGACAGCTGCCTCAAGTTCCTGTTGCTATGACTTTCCTATCCTTGAACTATGAGACAAAGGAAACCTTTCCTCCTTAAGTTGCTTCTGTCAGGTATTTTGCTGCAGTGAGAAAAGTAACCAATACAATCATTAAGATTTAAGGACAATAAAAGCAAACTACAATAGTTAATGTATAAATTAATAAATAACTTCCTGAAGAGAATCTCCTATGTACACACGTACCCAACACTGTGTAAATGTTGCACAGAATAAAAAGATTTACGGCAATGTATTCCTGCCACAGAGGCACATAAATATGGAGGCAGAGAAAAAGCACTAAGAGGCACAAAACTTCTTATTGAATTATTCCAGACAATTTATAAATGAGCAACACTTTGGGTGCTGTGAAGTATAAGTGATTTAGTAAACTAATATCCCAGCCTTAAATCCTAAAGTCAGCTTTTATTAAGTAATGAACAATATTGCAAATGAGGTTATAGAAGATCATTTTTTATAAAAATAATGAGGCCTGGGTAATTTGCTAAATTAATCTGCTGTAAAACCACTAAAGAATCCATTAGCCCATACTGATACTTTAAGAAAAAAGAAAAACACATTAACAGAGTAGGAGGGACAGAGAAAAGCTCTTATTTATAGACAATCACCACCAGACATGGTGGCTTATGCTTGGTATTTCAGTACTCAGGAGGCAGAAGAAGGAAGATTGCCATGAATTTGGGTCAGCCTGGGCTACATGAGCTCCAGACATAAAAACAAAAACAAAACCCACAACAACCATGATCTAATAAAGACAGAGATCATTAGAAAATCACCATTTTAAATACTATAGTAAATTACCTAATTTAGACAAAATTATCAATGGGTTTTAAAACCACTGAATAAAAATATTGCTGGAAAATAGGATATTTAAATTCTCAAAGTATCTCACATATTCTTTATTACTTTTATAATGGAGAACTGGGATAGACAGCATCTTAATAAATTGTTTATTTTGACATAATCAATAATGGGACAACTGGATGTCTTGTGCCTCTTGATAAAATGAGTTCAGGGGCATTAATATTACTTGCATTACCATTTCTGCTAAAAAATGTTTATCCTGAATCTAATCATGAGGAAACAAATTCAAATTTGTCTATAAAACAATTAGCTTGCAATTTTTCAAAACTTGCCATTCATAAGGAGCTGTGAATGTAGCTCAGTAGCACAGCCCTTCCCTAGCATGTGCAAGGCCCTGGGTTCCATCCTCAACACCACTTAAAAGGGTCGTTGATAAGAAAGGAGAAGAAAGAAAAGAGAGCAACACAAAGAAACTCTTCTGGATTTATGGAAGATAAGGGACATAATACCAAATGCAATGCAATCCACAACCTTTAACTAGAGAAAAGTAAGAAGTACAAAGCACATTACTGGAAACCTGGGAAAGTTGAATATAGCCTCTGTATTCAGACATAAATGCTATACTTCCCGTGTGTGAACACTGTATCAAAGTTGTAAATATTTCATTCTTAAGAGACTCATCCTGAAATACTGAGTGAATTGTTATAAGCCCTATAACTAATTTATAGGTGCAGCTAAATAACAGTGATGATGATAATTATAACATAATGTAAAATTTAAATGTGACAGGATGTCAACTGGTGAATATGGGATTTGCATCTGCCAGCATCTTCATCAGACAGGTAATAACACAGACCACAGGTGTCTTTGTGAGGACTGGAGGGCAGGGAAACTTGTCTCAAGAGTATTACCAAGGTTCCTTCTTTATAAAGTGGTCTTCAAATTATTATTCTTTGCCAGTCTTTGATTACACCACAGAGAACTTGAATCCTTAGCTTGTACCTATCAATATCTGAACTGTGGAAATGATGTCAGAATAGTCTGGAAATGTGACTGCCAGAACAATGTTTCTCTTTTGGAAAAGGCTCAAAATAATAGTTTTTGTAAAGATTTATTTTTACTTTTATTTATGTGTGTCTGTGGAAGTGTATTCCACATATGTACAGGTGCCTGTGGAAGCCTGTAGAGCACATGGAATCCCCTGGTGCTGAGTTACAGGAGGGTGTGAGCTACCTGACATGGGTGCTGGGAACTAAACATATCCTCAGTATTCTTAACCACAGAGCCATTTCTCCAGCCCCTAAAAATAACAGACACTAAAAACTGATGACTGGGGCCAGTGAGATGACTCAGTAGGTAAAGGTACTTTTCCCACCAAACCTGACAACCTGAGTTCAATCCCTGGGACCTACATGGTAGAAGGAAAGAAATGACTCAACAAGTTGTCCTCTGACCTTCATATGTACACTGTGATGTGTGCCTACACATACACATAAATAAACAAATAAATAAGGGCTAGATAGATGACTTAGTGGTTAAGAACATGAACTAGAGATCTTAGCAGACAGCCTGAGAGGGTGGGTTATGACCTCCATCAGTGGAGGGGCTGGGATCTCAGCAGACCGCCAGAGAGTGCCGGGTTCTGGACTCCCTCTGGCATAGAGGCTGAGAACACAGAGGACTGCCTGAGAGCACCCAGATCCTGCTTCCACATGGTGCTATCAAAATGCCTGAAAGCAAATCCTGAACCCATCACTCTCGAGTCCAGCCTTGGCAGACAAAAGAAAAATGAGAAGGAACCCAATAGAGGGATGTTTTTGGAAGGCCTTGTCAAGAAATTCCAAAGGACTCTCATATGAACATTTGAAAATTGCACTGTTCTTTCTTCTAGTTCCCTGTCTAGAACTTGTAATACTAACTACTCTTGCCTTTACTTCTCCTTCAAATCTCCTAGTCACCAGCCAAGGACTTTTCCCCCTACAGATAAGAGTTATGCAATTACTGAAGGGGTACCCCAATTGCCTCATCCTGTGTCCCTGTTCAGCATGGGAAGCCAGAGCTCTCTGCATCCTGATTCCTGCAAGGTTACCCGCAAGATGGGTAACCTCTTCAGAGGATTGTGTGATAAGAATAGGAGGTAGGAATTGGCTAGGCAATTAAGGTAAAGAAAAGTAGCCAGTTTCTTGGCTAAAATTTATAATGTCCTTGGGCCTCTTAGCAACATACTCCATTCCAAAGGCCAAAAATGTCGAAAGTATTTAGGAGCTTTTATCTAATCCTTAAAAGATTTTAGGGTTATCTCTTCAGAGTGGGGAATGTTAAGAGTAGCCAAAAGCCCTATCAAAATAGGAGATAGGAATTGGCTAGGCAGGGTAAAGAAAAGTAGCCAGTTTCTTGGCTAAAATTTATAATGTCCTTGGGCCTCTTAGCAACATACTCCATTCCAAAGGCCAAAAATGTCGAAAGTATTTAGGAGCTTTTATCTAATCCTTAAAAGATTTTAGGGTTACCTCTTCAGAGGGGGGAATGTTAGAGTAGCCAAAAGCCCTATAAAAATAAATAAATAAATAAATAAATAAATAAGAAAGAGTACATGACGTTATCAGAAAAACAGTGATGGGGAGATATGGGAGGAGCTGGAGGGGAGGGAGTGGGCATGGATTTGATCAAAACACCTTATATGCATGTATGAAATTCTCAATAAATTATTTTTAAAAAAATCAGCCAAATTGGGCTTTCAGAAAGTTTTTATTTTGGAGAGTTAGAATAAGTGCCTTTACATTAAATACATAAAAGTATAAATTGCACAAGATAAAATGCTTGTATATATAGTTTCAGTTTTGACAGATGTACATGCCTGTGTAACCATCACAATTGTGAACTGAAGTTCTCAGAAAAAAACAAGCCCATACCTATGTTAAAGATTCCACAAGGCTGATTGATTAGAACTTTCACAATTGTGGAGAGTTGGAATGATCCAGCTTCAGAGCCAAATTATCTTGGGCTATCTTTAGTCCCTGAAGAGCCATTCATTACCCACCTCTGAGTAGGACCTAACGTCTCTGTGACTATCAGGTAAAACCTTTTGGAATGTATTGTCTTAACAGACCACCAGCTTCCAACAACCCAAAAGTCAAGAATGTCAATGTCATCAAACAGCAGATGAGACCTATAGCATATTTTTTCCCATCTGCCTGATGCCCCCATTCAAACAAACAAAAAAATTTTTTGAGCTTGGGCTTTGCATCACTCAGGCTGCCCCTGAACTCACTTCATAGTGAAAGATGATCTGGAACTTCTGATATTTCTGCCTCTACCTCCTGAATGCTGGGATTATGGGTGTCCAATTTGTAAGGTGCTAGGGATTAAACCCAAGACTGTGCATGCTAGGCAAGCATTCTACCGGCAAGCTACATCCCCAGCCCCCAACCAATATATATGAAAATACCTTGATTTATGACTCTTTTTGTTGTTGCTGTTCTAGAATTATTAATAACATCATAAACCATTTCCATTAAAAAAAAAAAAACATGAACTGGTCTTGTGGAGGACCCAAGTTCAGTTCACAGTGCCCACATCTGGCAGTTCACTATGGCCTTTAAGTCTAGCCTCAGGGGATCCAATGCACTTTTCTAGCCTCCCAGGACACTTGTACATGTCATACGAACACACATGCATGCATGCACAAATAAAAATATAATATTTAAAAATATGCTCTCAGGAGGCTGAGCTCCATGAGTTTCAAGCAGCCTGGCCTAAATAGGGTTCTAGGTCAGTCAGGGACACCTAGTGGGACTCTGTCCTAAAAGAAAAAAACCTTTAAGGGGCTCGACAGATGGATCTATAGTTAAGAGTGTGTACTGCTCTTGCAGAGGACTTGAATTCACCTGGTTCCCAGCACCCACATGAAATGGTTCAGAACCCATGGCTCGTAACTCCAGCTCCAGGGGATCCGATTCTCTCTACTGGCCTCCATGGCACTGGCACTCATGTGCACACACACACATACAGACACATAATTAAAAACTAAAAATTTTAGGGGCTGAAGAGATGGCTCAGTGGTTAAAAGCACTGACTGCTCTTGCAGATGACCTAGGTTCAATTCCCAGTACCCACATGGTGGCTGACAACTGTCTGTAACTCCAGTTCCAGAGGACCTGACACTCTCTTTGGATCTCCACGGGCATTGCATGACACAGGTGCCCTGACATACATGCAGGTAATACACTCATACACATTAAAAAAAAAATTTTTTTGAATAATTAAGTATTTTAAAATATCTTTAAAATAAATATAAGGATTTTTTTTTTTAAATCAAAACTACTATTGTGCTGAGTGAAGTTACATGCACCTTTAATCACAGCACTCCAGAGGCAGAGGCAGGCAGATCTCTGTGAGATGAAGGCCAGCCTGGTGTGCACACCAAGTTTCAGGCCAGCTGGGGCTACAGGAAGACCACCTCAAAAACTAAAAACAAAACAACAAAAAAATTACTATTATAAAACTTTGCTACTTTTAAGCAGACCCTGAAAACCACCTACCTCTTCTGCATATGCTTTTCCAATTCCATCAGTGCTGCCTGTGACAACTGAGAAAGGAAAAAGAACAGTTTAGTTTAAGCACTCCAACAAGGAAGTGGTCTAGCTAGAACCCACCAATTATACCCAAGAAAACTAGCGCAATACTATGACATAAAAGAGCAAGATCCAAAGCTAGGTATGTACCTTAGTGGTAGAGTGTAGTACCTAGAACGCATGAAGCCCTGGGTTCAATTGTTAGCAAAATGTATAAATAAATATGTAAATAAATAAGCAAAACTGGCTGCACAAGTTTAGGGTTGAACATCTATCACAACATCTAAAATTTAACACTGAAATATCAAGTGTGATAAGGATGTAAAATAACTGGAGCACTCACACCTATTCAGGAGTACAGTAAAATTGATACAGTCATTTGGGGAAAACTATTTAGCAGTATGGTAAGAATTAAAGATATGTCTGCTAATGAACCAGCAATCCCCAACAGACATGGGTGCCTTGTGGCTACTAAAGGAATGTACATGGTAGCTTTACTGACGTACAGCACATATACCTGCCCAAGTATTAATCTACAGAAGAGTAAAACTGAAGTATAGACAGAGTATTTAACAGACAGCAATAAAATGAACAATCACATAACCTCTAAGACATGTTAACAGAAAACACTGTAAGTTCACAATATTCATTCCATAGCACCACTCAAAAAAGAAAAAAATGTACATTTATGAAGGTCCTGCTTAGGTATCATCTTTTCAAACCTTTAAAACATTTTAGTATTAAAAATCAAAAGGGGGGGCTGGTGAGATGACTTAGCAGCTAAGAGCACTGGCTGCCCTTGCAGAGAACCTAGGTTTGACTACCAGCACCCACATGGTGGCTAACAACTGTTTGGAACTCCAGTTCCAAGGGATCTGACACTCTCATTTGACCTCCGTAGGCATTATACAACATGGGTGCACTTACACACATGCAGACAATACACTTATATATATATAAAACAAAAGATGACTTAGCAGCTAAGAGCACTGGCTGCCCTTGCAGAGAACCTAGGTTTGACTACCAGCACCCACATGGTGGCTAACAACTGTTTGGAACTCCAGTTCCAAGGGATCTGACACTCTCATTTGACCTCCGTAGGCATTATACAACATGGGTGCACTTACACACATGCAGACAATACACTTATATATATATAAAACAAAAAAATAATATTTTTTAAAAATAAAAAACCAGAACAAACCCATGTACCTATATGACCTAGCTTCACCCACGATCAACTTCAGATTAATCTTACTTCA